ATGTTATCTCTGGTCATACGATTTTCTTTACAGGAGGCAGACTGTGTCAAGGCTGAGATAAATAAAGGACTCTGGCAGCTTTCATGCAACAGTTAAGCAGCCTGTCCTGTTAAGCAAAACAGTTCCCTTCAGATGATCTGTGTAATGTTCATGGCCTACTGACTCTTCTGAAGTAAAGAATCAAATTTTAAAATGTGTCCTATTTTGGATGTTGCTTGTGGATTTTTAGCTGATCAGTTGATTGCATGAGAAGCTGCTGTTGGCTTTCAGGTAGCTCCCCTCTCTGACTAGTGACATAACTTTTTTTCTGGCAAATGCAGCCTCATCAGCCCCTTTTCTCTTGGTTGTGACTGGTTGCTGACTTTTGGCTCTGTGGGCCCAGATGCACTGACAAGGTAGAACGTCAGCTAATGGATAATGAGTGCACTCTACAGCTATCTCCCACCAGCAAGTTACAAAACAGTATGGGGAATACAACGTAATGATTTGAGAGAGGCACATTTCCCCTCCAGAGGAACATTAGAGAATAAGCTTTAGCGTCTACAAAAACTGCATTGGAATAGACCTTGCCCATGCATATAACACCATATATATCTGGAGGAAGTGAGGGTAGGAGAGCTTCAAACTTCCTTGTCTCTATTTATTTTCTTATTGTAGTTTCAAATGAATTGGTGTGAACTTTATAGCATAATAAGAGCAAATTGTTCATCATCTGGTCATGTTAACAGTACCTGTATCTCATGCTTACTTTCATCCCTTAAATAGGTTTGTGAACTGTAATGCTTTTCCTTCTGATAGTTGACAGCTTCACGGTGCAGAAAGTTGGCTACCAGTAGCATTTCTCCTGTTTCACATTTGGTAACAAGTTTGACAACGGCTTTGCAGCTAGCCAGATAAGTCTTCATGGCACCTTTTAGAAACAAAACCAATAGACCAAATGGTCCATATGGAGCAAACTCCTAGAAATCCTTAGCTGAAGCTGGTGATCAGTTGAGTTTCTGTATCATGTTCTCCAATGTAGAGCTGTTTTCTTTGCAAAGTGAAGTGATGTGACCAATCCTGCATATCAAATATATGGATATATACATTAATTAGCAAAACTGCTGGGAATGTCCTTCCTACTTTGAGATTTTGAGGCACGGAGTGCTTGTCAAGCTCACAGGACATCTTGGCTTGACCACATCCTTTTGCATGAATGTTTAGGAGTTTTTCCATCTTTTCGGGTTTTTTTAACACAGTTGCAGTGAGTCACTTACTCCCACTTATAGTTTGTGCTGTGATAGAATTGATTTGATTCTTTATGTACCAGTTATACTGGATCTTTATGATGAGAAGGGTGATGATGATTTGTATTTTGAAAAATATACCTGAAATATCATATATGTATATAAACAGATGTCAGCTTGATTTTCAGTCCTCTTTTATCTTAGAGCAATTGCTGCCAGTCTTTCTGCCCACTCTAGATACTGCAGCATTGAAACAAGCATTTTATTATTTTTTTTTAACACTCCATTCATTTCCTGTAATTATATGGGAATTATTTTATATTTCTTTTTTTGTTTTACTTTGAAAAGGCTGACAAAAACCCCTTAAGATTGTTAGAGAACAAGAGGAGTGCAATAATGTCAGATGAATGAAAAGTTCTTGTTCTTTTTGTTGTCATTGTTTTTTTCCTGCTTGTGGACTTTGCAACTATGTTGGGGTGTGCGTCAGGAGAGAACAAGTTAAAAACAGCTTGGGAAGGGATAGTTCTGCTAAAGTTTCTGAGCCTAGCTGATGGCTCTGTTGTGTATAAAGAGTTCCAAGTGGTAGAAAAACTCTTGGTTTATGATGATTTTAGTATATGCCTTCTTTGTTTTCCCTCACCTTGATGTTCTTGCGTTACCCAGAGTCCTTTGGTTTTTTTACTGTCAGCCAGAAGTGCCAGAGCAATATTCCAGGTCAGTTCCCCTGTTACTGTGAACTCAGGGTTGAGGAATGTAACACCGATTATAGAGTTGGCTGAGGTGGTGTCACCATCTAGAGAGAATGAAATGAAACGTGAATCCCAGCTGAAAAGGCAGTCCAGTTCCACTAAACTTTGAAGATACTAACACAACATAAGGCTTAGCAGCAGGAAATGGTAGAGACCACAGTATCCCTGGAAATGCAAGGTAATGTTCCCGCCTGCCACCTGAGCAAGCTTCTGTGGTTTATACCATAAAGAAGCCCTTTAGTTCAGCTGAGGGCACAGCAACCATGTGCCCACATCATAGAAGGGTTCAGTAATACTAAGGAAGAGAGGAAAAGACTCTGGGCAGTTGTCTTTATGAGATTTTATCTCTCTGGAGAGGCGTTAGAAATAAATGCCACTAATTATGGCAAGACCTGTATAGTTTTGTGTGAGAGAGTAAGACGGTACTGAGTGAGTAATTGCCCTGAAAAAAAGACTGTTAGGAATAAACTGAAAAACTACAAAGAGTGGAGAAAGAAAATGGAAACTGTCTTGGAGGTCAAAACATGTGAGGGTAAAGTAAACGTTGCAAAAGCTCATGCTGGGTTAGAATCTGCAAAGGAAAGGAAAGCAAACAGCTGTATTCCTTAAGCATGTAAAGTAAGAGCAAGGTAAGGGAAAGCAGAAGTGGGTCCGCAGTAAAGATGGGGCTGACATAAAATGCAGTTTTAGGTATAGTCATGCAATCAAATGAATACTTGGCCTCCAGTTTCAGTTGGAACAATGGCACTGGACATGGGAGCAAAAGAAGTCAGTGTGTAGCAAGATTTGGAAATGGAAATTAACCCACTGAAGCTGGAAGCAAGATTTAAGTATTACTATACTCTAATGAGAAGAAATAAAATTCGACCAAATAGTGTTTGTCTCGAGTGGAAGAATTGCACAATGAAATTGTGAGCTTTGTGGTAACAATTTGTGATTAAATCAAGCTATCCTGATGTACCTTGACTATCTAATTCAGGGTAATACTTTGTGACCACTGGATGACAGAAGTATGATCTGCAGATAAACAATTAAAAAGAAAAAAGAGAAAAAAGGTGATCTGAACAAGTACATATCAGTTAATCTAAACAGTAGATAAAACACCTTCTTTGAAAGAATAACCAAAGACTGCTAGTTCTGCAAGTGAAATCCTTTGACTTTAGGAAGGTAAATGGTATAAAATATGACATGGATTCACCAAAGACTGTGCTGGACTAGCTTGGCAGCTTTTATCGACAAAGTAACTGGTTACCTCCATAAGGGAAATATAGTGTATTCAAACAGTCTGGACTTCAGTAAAGCAGCTGAAGACTGCCACATGGAAGTAATTATTTAAACTGGATAAAACGAGGGAGTAGTACATGAAGTGTCAAGTAGCTAAGAAGTTGGCTTAAATGAGACGTTAGAGGTTTTATTGAAAAAGGAAATAATGGGGTTGAATGTCACCTACATACTGTGGAGTTTCACAAAAAATGATCTGGGGCCTGATCTTTGTAATACTTTCAGTAAGGTTACTGGCAAAAAAGGGGGAGGGGGGGGAAATCTTGCTAATGAAATTCATTGCTGAGGCACCATTTCAAACCCTCATCAATGCAGAGGAGGATAGGCATGTCATATGCTAAGAACTGCAAAATGTCGCAGACTGTAATATTAAAAATAGAAATGTAATAGTAGAAAGTACCAGGTCATGCACTAAGAAAGTGTTGAGAATTTTGGCTACTGACAAGGTGCTTATCAGTTGAAAGCAAAGAAGGAGGAAGATCTGAGTATCAGTCAGTAAATAAAAGCCACCATATAAATAGGCAAGCGTGTTCTCAATGTGTATCAGATGAGAGATTTCTGGCAGGGTTGTATGTTATGCTGATAAGACCTCATCTGGAAAGCTGTGTTCAATTCTAATCACGCAGGTTCTGGAAAGATTAATCCAAATGGACAGGTGCAGAGACCTAGGGGATGATCAGTGCACTGAAGAGCTTATCGTGTGAGAGGAATGCTTGGCTTGTTTAGCAAAGCAAAACAGAAGCTAGGAAAGATTGGGCTCTGTAAATAGTAAGTTGGGTAAGGGCAAACAGTGGCATGGTATTTAAGCTAAAATACTAGAGTTTTAAAAAGAAATGGATGAATGCACATTAGAACTTAATTCATTGAGTGCCACAGTGAATGAAGCTCCTGTATGCTTTTCTCTAACTGCCTGGTTCACATGTCCTTGCAATTTTCTGGGATTCATGGGATTTGTGCTTGCAAACCTCTCGCCTAGATTTTTCCCTATGGTTCATTTCATCGCAAACTCTGATAAAAAGCAAATTAATTCAACTCTATAAAAAGTTTTAAAACTTGTTCCAAGTGGGCCTTTTTCATTCCCTCCGTCATCTTTAAGTAGTAATAATATTTTCTGGCTCCCTAACTCTGTAGACTTACCTTGACTGGTAGCAATTTTGTCATGCAGCAGGATTGCCCCATAGCATTTCTATTGTGTCTCATAGAATATATCCAGTCTGTGACCAGGCCTTCCCCAGTACTTACTACATAGACCTTATTGCAGCTGTAGTTTTTGCAGCTAAAATGTCCCTATTTCCTCTCTCAACTAGGACATTTAACATTATTTTTAGCATCTATTAGCCAAAAACACTAAGATTCCCTTTTGCAGTCTGGCTCCCCAGCAGGTTCTGCCAGTAGTGGTGAACAGGATAATGACACAAGGTATTCTCTCGCTTTATTTACCTCCCTCTGCCTCATGCCCTTCTTCTCCCAATTGCTCAATTTTCTTAAAAAATTACAGTTTTGACTGTTGCATTTATTGTTTATTCACTGGCTTATTCTTTAGGTTCTAATGTAAATGGGCTGGAAGAGCCCAGCCTTGCTAAGCGGCTGCGTGGCACACCTGAGCGGATTGAGCTGGAGAACTACCGACTGTCACTGCAGCGGGAAGAAGAACTGGAAGAGGTTCCTGAAGAGACGCTAGCAGAGCATAACTTGAGCAGCGTGTTGGACAAAGGAGTAGAAGAGGATGTGCCCAGCAGGTTAGCACACGTTGTCCATAAGCTTTTTTTATACCTATCCAAACAGACTTTTGCCTGCTTTTCCCTTAGCTATTTTTAGCATGCTGTTTACCAGGTTGCCCTCTAAAGTTGTTGAAAATGTTCTCCATATGTACACCAGTATTTCATCTTATAGTTTCTATTCTTCTAAATAGCTTACTACCATTCTTAGAAGACACTTACAGTACCATGAAATTCAGTCCTAAGTTAGAAGGGATTTTTTTAGAATTTTTTAATTGTATCAAAGACAAATGAGTGTTTTGAACAAACAGAACATGGATTCAGATGGTAGGGCGTTCCAAAGTTAACCTTTTCTTCTGTATGTTTTGTATTACAATTCAAAACCTCTTTTGATTTAAAGATTCAAGCTTGACACGCATGTAATCCTGACTGAATGCTGATGCAATGCCTGAGAGATACTAATTTGAAGCAATAGTTACGACTGTTGAAAACATGTTGTACCTTCACAAATTTCTCTTTATCTGCAAAATGATGCATAAGCACACCAGGTTTCAAATATATGCAGGTAGAGCTACTGGAAATAGTTGTTGCAAGAATCATTGAGAGAAAATACTTGGTGAAGAATGCTTGTGAACTTGACTATAGTCAATCACACACTTTTTACAGAGTCTCAATCTCATAATACGATTTATAATCATCTACTTTTCTTTGTAGCGATCACAACCCTTAGCTTTTCAACTCTCAGTCTGTCCAGTAGCCTTCTTGAAGTAAACTCAGAAAATGCTGTTACTGGTTTCCTGAGACTTAGATCCTACAAAGGTATTCTGTGTATGCGTTACCTACACATATAGAGCTGTATGAGAAATTCCTTACTACGTTTATACATGTTAAATTGAACAGGATTGGTGTGGTGAAGAATGCAGGAATAAGAACGTTCATTACAAGGTTTACAGGATTAATGTAGTACAGAATCTGTGATTTATTTATCTGATAAGTTTGAAGATGCAGCATCTGGAATGGAGTAACTTTTAGTAGCCCGAACTCAGCCTTGATGGAGAGTGTGTATATGTGGACTCGTGAAGATGTGGTTTTCATAAGTGCCTGACAATTACTAATATCTTGAACAGCTGTTTTCTCTGAAACCTAAATAATACTTTTTGATTAATTTCATAACATTACTTTATTTAAAAGGTACTACTTTGACCTTTTACATAATTGAGATCTTACCTAGTGCTCTGATTGAATAATCTCAGGACTATTTGTGGGAGATGCAAACTCTATTTGCTTCACTCATCCTTCCTTTAGCTCCCTGCTCAGACCTAGGAATCATATAAACTGTGACAATATAGGCAATAATGACAGTGAAGGGTTTTCAGTCCTTTATGTTTCTAGCTCTAAACCAAAATTTACTAGCATAGAGCATTATTATTATTGGTCTTGATTTCAGTAAATTAGGACACAGCAGGCCTGCTCAGTAAATGGCAGAAGACTTCCACAGGAGAAGAGTTTAAAAAAAATTGGAGTTTTGACATTTTGGCACAAGGCTGTTGGTCATCTCCAAGAGGTGTTTTCAGAGATTATGGAGACTGAGGGCAGTAAACCATTAGGTTAGTGAGTTTGATTTCCTCTCACAGGGTGTTACATTTAGCTCCCTTTGTCCTACATACATCCCTGCAACCTGTATTAAGCTGAGTATTTCTGTCTGTAATAGACTGAATTGTGTAATTTTGCATGCGAAAAGCAGTGTGTAGTGGGCAACTCACGCTCTGTGATAGAGAGGAAAGAGATGATACATCAAATTCCCTGTCAGTTTCACTTGGAAAAATTTCTGTCCCAGGCCCAAATATGGCAAACAGTTTAATCAGAGCATTGATAAGGCTCTGGGGCCAAACATCAGAGAGAGAATTTTCTAGATGATGTAGCTATCAGATATCCTCTGCTCAGCTCTACCCACTACGTGGTATGTCACAGAAAGACCAAAAAAAAAAGGCGGAAAAAGTCTGACCACTTTTTCAGCAACAAAAGAAAAAAAGTTTGACTCCTGCATCAAGCCAACCAAAACCCTGATTTGATCATCTTTACTGTCTTCGTGAAGTGCCGCAGGGTTAGGAGCAGGCGGAGGAGATGGGGAACTCTTTGTTCCCTCCATGTCTTTTAGAGCAATGGAACTGGCTTCAAGGTTCACTGAGGTGTTACCTCTAAATGAAGCAGAGACCGTGCATTTTGGTGCACAACTTTCCATCACACACCCACTTAGGAGCGTGCACACTGCAGAGAAGGTTTACAGAAAACGGTATATTCAAAATATATTTTTTAAAAGAGAGTCAATCTTGTTTGAGCTTCAAACAGAAAAAAATCTTTTAAGCAACCAAACCCTGACTGCACAGTTTTCAGGGGTGGAAAAGCCTTTAAATGCCTTATTCATTGCCTTTAACTTGCAGTAACTCCCAGTACCTCATCTGCAGTTTTGGTATAATACCCTGTGGCTTTTGGAAGGAGTGTCACAGGACAGCTTGTGCTGTATGGGTCTATATGGCAAGGGAAGAGAAGAGGTTCATTTCCACAGTTTAGGTTTTGGTTCCTTTACTCCATACTAAATCCGTGTAGGTACACCTTTTTAATGAGTTATTCAGTTGCTTATACAAATTGTATACAGCAACCTACTTTGGTCTTTGGTCTCTGCTTTATAGAAAAAAAAAATTTCAGCTGTTGAATTAATTCCTGTGACACAGAGCTGCCATGCTGAAAGGAATGCCCACTATACCAGGCCATCTCACTGCTGTCTTTCAGCTTCTTGTTTCTCAGTATTAAAAGGTCAAACAAAAACCAAGTTATAAATAAAAGCCAAAGAAGGTAAAGTGAGCTATGTGGTAAAGAATTTATGTCGTCAATATTCCATGCGATAAGCTGGCTGGTTGAAGAGCAACAGCTCGTCCCATTCAGCAGTCATGGCAACGGTTTGAGCAGCAGTAAACCTTATTGACAGCATACGAAAACCCCAGCACGCAGCACCTGTCAGGTTTATTTCCATACCAAAGGATGGGAACGTTAGTCAGGGAGGAGAAGAACATCACTTTATATCTCTGTGACAATATCTGTGTAAAGCCTTTGGAATATGCCTTGGTCTCCTGGAATATGCACTAAGTCCATGGCGTGCAACAGTGTATGTATTCAGTATTTAGCATGTGAAAACCAGACAACCTGTTAAAAATAAGTATTCAGTTTATCCTATGAAAAGTTGGTTGTAATTTGAGCAAAGTAGTGTTATGTGTGTGCAGAACAGTGAAGAACCTATGGACAGAAGTATGTGACAATCAGCATGTTTGTGGTGTTTTCCTTATTAGCTTTGCTATCAAAATAGTCTCTCAGACAAGTAGATGAATAAAATTATGTAAATATGATATGTCTGTGTAGTGTTAGACTAATTTGAAGTTCTGCACCTGAATATATTTATCTGCAATATAAGAGAAAAAGTGCTGCCATATATATTTTTTTTTCAAACTGTCAGTTTGTCACATACTGTAATAAAACAGGATTACAACAACTGTACAAGTTACATTTTATAGACCTACAGGAAATTTAAACTTCATTATTTTCAACTTGTCCGTTTTCCCTCTTGTTGTCTATATGGAATGGGTTCTGCCAAAGGCAGTTAACTACACTGATAGCTGTCATAAGGAAGCAGCAGAAGTAGAATACTGTTCTCACATGATTCACCCAAACTTTAACCATTCACAGTTTTCTCCTTCAATCCAGATGAGTTTGAGCCTTTTAAGATTTATATGGGAAGCATTGAACTGTTGCTCTAATAGATGCAGTTCTTTTATGAAAATGATCTATTAAGGAAAAACAAAGGAAGAGGACCTTTTCGCCCTGCAGATATATTCTCTGAATGTGCTGTAGTTCACATTCATTTTCCAGTGACAAATGCAACCATCTTTCTCCCCAGTACCTCTGGGTAGTCCAGCATGTAAGGGTGAACTAGATTAAATGTTATTGTACAGACAGTTACGCTTATACTGAGGATCTGTTAGATTAAATGGAGATGCCTACTAAAAAGGACTAATAACTTACTGTTTTGCATGTTTTAGACTTTGCTGTAAGAATAATAAGCTCATTATTGTAATTATGCTTGCACTGCTTTCTACAGTTTCTTGCCACTATATACACTGTGTACTTAATTGGATATGTATTATAGTTCGGTCTGTGATGTAGAAAAGTGTGGGATTTTTTTTTTTTTTCTCCAGTTCTCCTTAGCTTACATGCTATATCTTTTGGCCTGATAGTCATGTTGTGTTCTTTCTACTCCCAAAGCCTTCTGTGGTTCACCCCAGCAAGTGCCAAAAACATCTTAGCTATCCAAAATGCTAGCAGTAGCTGCCATTATTGAAAGATGTGACCTTCTACATTCTGACACTGCTAAGAACTCTTGCACCGGTTTATCCAATGCGATGTGATATGAAGAAAGTAGTTTCTTTCTGCTGTGTTCAACTGTCATGAACTGTGACAATTAATGCTGCACAAATATTTGGACTTGGCTTCACAGGCACTTTGCTGCTGCTTCACCTTCTTTAAAAGAAGCGGGGTAAGGACCATACTGCAGCCCGCACGTGATGCTGTCACTAAAGCGCTATGCAATATTGGAAGCAGAAAATTAGTATTATGGTTTGCATTGTACATTTTGGGCTTGTATGTATTGAAATAACCTGTCACTGATCTAAGACCAATCTAGGAAACATTAGCTGGTTGTTTCCTTATTTTTTTCTCTAAACCCTTACAGTAGTTCAGAGTCTGAGATGGAGGAGGAAGATGAGGAGGAAGATGATGAACTACTGCTACCTCAGCAACCCCCTTCAGACTTGGGTGGTGTGCCATGGAAAGAGGCTGTGCGTATCCATGCCCTCTTGAAGGGAAAGAATGCAGCAGTGATTGAGGCTGAGGAAAATCATGAGATCGAGGACAAAGAAGAGGAGGAGGAGGAGGAGGAAGACGAGGAGGAGGAAGACGAAGAGGAGGAAGATGAGGAGTCAAGCGAAGGTTAGATGATTGATTTGTCCTTCCTTTCTGTTAGACAGCAGGGCAAACTGAGTTGAGTATTTGCCATGCAGAATGAGAAAGATTTGCCTTGGAAAACTTTTCTTCTTTCACTTCTTTATTGCTTTGATTTTTGAAGGAGTTACTGTCAAGCAGGCTTGAGGTGGATCATTCTGCATACAGAAGATCATTGCTCACAGGGCAGTTACAGCACTAGTACCAACACAATATGCTTCCCACGCACCATGCCAACATGTGCAATTCATGGCTTTGTGACACTGTATTGTTTTATTGTTGTTTTTTATTAGTATGGGGAATTAGATTTGAATGTGCCCTTTGTCCTGTAACAGCAAGAGCTGGAAGCATTGCGGAGGCAGTGTTTTCAGTTTTGCAGACTGCCTCACTAAGGGGTGGTGCTCTGTTACTGTCATCAGGGCATCCCAGAAGAAGCTGCTTGTAGCTCTCCTTAGTTAAAAGACGGCCTTGAGAAATCAGGGAGTTCAGGTGGTTCCCATTTTAGCTCTGAGGGATTTCTGTGGAAAATCTTAGGGAAAG